AGGTTAGGGATGTTACAAGAAAGGTGATGGAAACGTGAAAATTCATGGAGGAATAACTTGATTTCAAGCAAATTTCAAGTGAAATAAGTCAATCCACCACCTAGAAACACCTAAACTACCCTAAATATATCTCAAAATCACCTAAAAAAATACTTGAAGAAACCAAATAAAGAATGAGGAAAAATTGAAGTTTGGTCGAAACTTGAAGGAAGAAAAAGGAGGAGATTTCAAGCCATCAAGGTAGAACTTAGTCAAGCATCAATTGACGTATGTGTAGTCCTCACTACATCACAAGAAATCGTTGTTTTGATGCTTGATTGATGTTGTTTTGAAGTTTTGGAAGTTGTGAGTTATATGTTCAATTATTTGGGTTAGGTGGAATTTGGTTGATCCCGATGAATTAATGTTAAAATCATGCTTTGATGAATGCGTTCTCATATTTGAAAGCTTAATTGAGGTTGAATCGAAGAATTAAAGTTGATGAATTAAGGACTAAAGATTTGGCCAAAATGATGATTGTTGGGAAAAACTATTAGTTTTCATGAATTTATGTATTTAGGTGTTCTTTAGGATGATTGAGTATGTTTAAAGGTGTTTGATTGAAAAATCAATGTAGATTTTCCTTGTTGATAAATTCAGCCATAATCTTGAAATTGAATTAATTGGGTTAATTAGTGTAATTGGAAAATGAGTGAAATCTACCATAATTTGGTGGATTGGGTGAATTCAGCTATTACTAATGACTAAGGTTAATTGTGTTAATTTTGGGTAATTGAATTAATCATGAGTTTATATATGTTTAAATGAGTTTAGTCAATGAATTGTTGTTGATTGTTCTTGATGATGATTTTGGTCAAGACCTAATTTTGGTGTTTGTTGAATTAATTCATGTTATTTAATTGATTACAAGATGAACTAAACATGGAAATAAGTCTATTATAGCAAACTCCTTCTTGGTTATATGAAGTATATAATTCGGCCAAGAAGGAAAACAAAGGTTAAATGTTCTATTTTTATAGAAATGTAAATATGTTTTATGATTATGTTATTGATTGTATGATTATAATGTTGATTGTTAATGTTATATTTAAGAAATGTATTAAGCGCTTGATGTGAAAATGTTGCCATGAGTGCAAAGAGAACGATACATTGAATATTCTTTGCAAAGTTGGCATGGTTAAAATTATGTAAGGAAAAGAATAAATTCATGTTTAAGGAAGGAATTGCAAAGAGAATGATCTATTGAATACTCTTTGTAAGGTATAAAATGAGAATGATCTAATGAATACTCTTGTATGTCGAAAGAAGGAGATGTTAGGAGAATGATCTAATGAAAACTCCAAGTATGTAAAAAAGGAATGATCTAATGAACCCTTAAGTCATGAAAAGAGGACTCGCAAGAGAATGACCTAATGTATACTTTTATGAGAAAGTTAAGGAAAATGCCTAGCATCATAGATATAAATAAATTTGTATGCATATATTAGACTAAACTTATTGAGAATTAGCTCACTTTTATTTTTTTTGGTGTAGATGATAAAGATGCTAAATGATCGAGCATTTTGATTGTTGTTGAGGAATGCTCGACTTACCGATATGTGTACTTAATAATTAGGAGTGAATAAGAAGACATTTTCTTTTCTTTTATGACATGTTTTGGACTTAAATATATGTACTAGGTTTGGCACTTATGGTTTGTAAAATAATGGCATTCATAAGATTACTATAAATATTAACCGAATGTGTGTGCTTGGTTTAGTTAAATTGAAGTTTAATAAATTAAATTAATGGTTAGACTAATAAAATTCGTCAAAGTGAATAAACAAAATAAATAAGGAATTTAATTATATTTGAGTTGAATTTAATAGTTAAAGGGTTAAATGAATTAATCTGTGTCCAAGCTTAGGAATATTTATATACATATATGTAATGTAAATTAATAATTTAGACGAGTAATTAATAATATAGGACTTAATGCTTTGTATTCATTATACTTATAATATAAGACATTGTTGGTAATACTCTCGATCTATTTAGATCTTAGTCGAACGTATTTCAAAACGGTCTCTTTTGATAATTTGTGTCTAAGAAATATATATATTCCATGAATGTTAATAGAAATGAAAAAAAAAGTTTAAAAGTAATAAAAAAAAAAGAAAACCGAGTAGCGGATGTAGGACCAAATGTCCATGGGGGCTAAAATAAATTTTTATAAATTTCTTATGGTTTACACAAACTTATATATATATATATATATATATATATATATATATGTATATATATAACATACCAACATATATTTTAAAATAGTCTCAAAATACAATCCCTCAAAATAGAGATTTTCGTTCTTTCAAGTCACAAAAATCATCTATAAACGAATATATAATAAAATTTTCAATAATTTCTTTTTCAATATACACTAACAAATAATTGAAAAAAAGTCATTTCCGTCTTGTTACGAAGTCGAGTCTTGACTATATTCATAACCGAAAATGATTGCTTTGTGGTAGCCATAGAAACCGAAAGAGTAAGAATAAATGTTATTATTTTATACACAAGTGGATAACTTTCAAAATTTTTTATCTTCATCAACCATTGACACAAATCGGAGATAGTTAACAATGTTTCGAAATCAAGAAAATTTTGTATATGATCAAAATGCTCAAATTGCATCCTTAATTGCGGCATGTCATGATCAACAAAGTCTTGAGGGTAAAATTTCTACACCAACTTATAAATATCATCAATCCTAAATGATATGCGCATCTCTCAGGATCTAAAGCCGAACTAAGAATGAGTAGCTCTATCATGTAATCATTGAATCTATTATTCGGTTATTGCAATCGAGAATCTATCACGGCATTAAATATGTCAACTTTATAATGAAGCTCAACTATAATTGCATGTTGTTGATGACAAGCCCTCCTTTTCTTACAATATAACGAGCGATCACGTACGGTATGGGTGTGTTGATTGCTTCGCAAAAAGATTTTGCATTTGAAATTAATTCATCCTATCCTTCATCTCTTAATTTTTGAATGAATAACTTAATTGAATAAACTAGATGCATTACATTACATTCAAAATATCCCGAGATTGAAGTTGTAAAGCTTGACAAAACAAATTAGATATCTTTAAAATTTTTCTCATGAGATGCATAATGAAAACAAATTCAAAAGAAGTTAATCTCTCATAAGCTACATCCGTATCTCCATGCTAAGTAGTTGTAGCTCCATCTTCAATGATATTCAGTAAAATTTCACAAGTTGCGCTAAACATATTCATCAAGTTAGAAATATATTTTAGATGAGAACTCTAACAAGTATCCCCAACCCTTTTGTAATATCTCGAACCTCGCTATTAAACAAATTAAAAATATATTAAGGATGTATGAAAACTATTTTGTGGCCATAGGATAGTTGCCATTAGAATGCTAGAATATTCGATGCGCTTAGGATAATTTTCCTATGTTGAGTGAATATTTTATTTGTTTTTCTACGCATGAATAATAGCTTTTTATGCAAAATAAATGTTTTGAGTATTTTAAATATGCATAAAAAAATTTCTATTTGCATAGAATATTTGCTAGAGGGGTGCTAGATTACTCTATGCCATTGGGTGAATTTTCCGATATCCAATGAATATTTTCGATACATGAATATTGTGTTTTTGTGCAAATTAATTATTTTGAGTATTTTAAATGTGTTTAAAAATTATCCAATGAGCATAGAAAAATCATTAAGGAGGTTCAAGAATATTCTATGAACTTAGGTGAATTTTTTTATGTATAGAAAATATTTTCTATAGAAATAAGTGTATTTTTTACACTTATTTAAGCCCTCAAATTAATCATTTTATGTAAAAATACACTCATTTATCTATAGGTTAATTAAAATTTCAATTGAAGCATTCTAAAAAAAGAAAAAAATTAAAGCAAGAATTAGGATGGGATCATAATGAAAATAGAATTGTGATAAAATAAAAAAGAGCATAACATGAGGTGTTTTATTGTGGGTGGGAGGTTGGGTGACAGGGTTCTTGTAGCATTTTATCTGGGTCCGCCTCTGCAGAAAACACAGCTCTTTAACAGTAGAACTGGAAAAATAAAAATAGTTCAAAAGTAATTAAGAAAAACCGTGAGCGGCAGGATTCGAACCTGCGCGGGCAGAGCCCACATGATTTCTAGTCATGCCCGATAACCACTCCGGCACGCCCACTTACTGTGCACCTTCTCCTGAAATATATATTACTTTGTATTTACTTATCATCACTGAAACTGAGAAACAGATGATTGGTTTCAGTGTTGATTTTGGATGACTGTTGGTAGGCTAGGCTAGGCTGGTTTCTTCTTTAACCAAAAGAAACCTCTTCTACAAGCTGTTGGGCTACTTTGTTACTGGAGAAAACAGGTGATGATATTAATCAAACAATCATTATTCCTTTCACTACCAGTAGCCTAGTAATACTGTTCCTTCATTCTTGTTATATCTGTCTTGCATTCTTTGCTCCAAGTTTTGGCTTTCTGTGTTTATTTCTATACACTCCTTTATCTTTGCATTCCTTCATTTACTTTCACTATTTTTACACATGAATAATTCACGGGCACCTTTCTGAATCACTCCTCTTTTTACTGACTAGTTCACTTCCACCTCTTACAAAACTTTCTGGCTTTCGTTTTCGGGGATTAATCATGAACATATCTTCTGGGTTTCATTAATTTTAGCCTTTCTCTTCAGTTTCAGCTCAAAGTTTTATGCTTGTTTTTTTTTTTTCTGTGGCAGTTGGTTTCTTGCTTTCAGGTTTCGATGTTCTTTAAATAGACCATTGTGGCTTCTGCTTACCACCTATTTGATATTTTGCAGGGAGAGCTGTAAATTTGTTTGGAGTAAATAATCAAGAAAATTATGGCTTCCGCTCTGTTTAAAAACATTCAAACCTACCCATTATTGTTATATCCAAGTGCATTTTTCAGAAGAAAGAATGGGGCCTTGTATTGCACAATGAAAAGCAGCAGCAGCAGCACCACCACCACCACACATACTCCAACAGCCACACAAGAAAAGCAGCAGAATTCACAAATCAAAATTTCTCCTCAAACTCGGACCAAAACTATTGATAAACTTATAAAAGACTATGAGGCAATCATTGGTATAGAAACCCATGTCCAGCTATCCACTTTAACCAAAGCCTTTTGTGGATGTCCATACAACTATGGAGCTCAACCAAACACAACTATCTGCCCGGTTTGCATGGGGTTGCCAGGTTCTTTACCAGTTTTGAACTCCAAAGTCATTGAGTTTGCTGTGAAATTAGGCCTTGCCCTTAATTGCAATCTGTCTTTAAACTCAAAGTTTGATAGGAAACAGTATTTTTACCCTGACCTTCCAAAGGGTTACCAAATATCTCAGTTTGATATACCAATTGCAACCAATGGTTATGTTGATTTGGATCTTCCCGTGGAATTTGGCGGCGGGCATAGGAGGTTTGGCATTACAAGAGTTCATATGGAAGAGGATGCTGGGAAGCTGCTTCATTCAGGAAATGGGAGTTATTCTCAGGAAATTACTTGTTCCCTTACTTTGTACTAGTATCCCTGGTTTTTTATTGCATCTTTTGTGGATATTCTGTTTCATTTTTCTTGAATGTAATATCAGTATCTACTGCTCCTGGTATTGCTGTTTTCATGATTTGTTCAACAGACCATTATCGATGATGAGGAGAAGGGTTATTAGTTCATTACATGTTTGCCTCTAAATCATAAGGATTGGTGGATAATTAAACTTGCGTTGTGACACCGCACTTGACAACTCTTTCTCATCTTTTGCAGGTTGATTTGAATAGAGCAGGGGTGCCTTTGCTTGAGATTGTTTCTGAACCTGATATGAGAAATGGCATTGAAGCTGCAGAATATGCAGCTGAAATACAGAGGGTAGTACGGTTCTTGGGAATTAGTAATGGTAATATGCAGGAAGGTTCACTTCGTTGTGATGTAAATGTGTCAATTCGACCAATTGGACAGTCAGAGTTTGGGACAAAGGTAAGTTTAACTTGTGCTTTCAAGCAACCCAAATAAATGATTTAGTTGCTCACTGTTTGGAGTATTTTGGAACTCAGAAAGCAAGAAGTGAAATACTATGAGTCATTATAATCTTGTGCTGATAACATTAACTTACAGCAGTTATACTGAATGGCAAGAGACATGGCATATGCTTGTGAAAGAGCAGATTCATCCCTTCTAAGCTCAATTTCTTCCTTTGATTATCTTTTCATTCGGAAGGATAGGTGTATTGTCAAATGCATTTTTTTAGCAAATTTGAAAGAACTATGTTATATGTGGTTCATAAGATTTTGCTGCTGATATATTTTCTTTTATTTCCTGTCGGCAGGTTGAGATAAAGAATTTAAATTCATTTTCTTCAGTTAACAGGGCCATTGATTTTGAGATATCAAGGCAAGTGCTTCTGCACAGTCAAGGGCAAGGCAACTCAATTGTACAAGAAACTCGGCTTTGGGAAGAAGGAGCTCAGGTTAAAACTAGATGTTGTCTCTCATTTTAGTGCAATAAGCTTGCTCGGGGAATGGTTACTTATATCCTCTTTCACACTGTTTAGAAAACAATTACAATGAGGAAAAAGGAGGGACTTTCTGATTATCGATATTTTCCAGAACCAGACCTTCCAGAAGTCATTCTCAAAAAAGAATATGTTGATAGTATTCAAAATTCTTTGCCAGAACTTCCAGAAATGAAGCGCCGGAGGTATGAGAGCATGGGCCTAAGCATGCAGGATGTTCTTTTCCTTGCAAACGACATAAACGTAAGTCCTGGTCACAGACAAGAATGTCTCATGTATTCTCTACGATCTATTTTTCAACTGTTCAGGGACCAAAAAAGAATTACCACATTCATGTTATATACTTTCATTTCTAGAACTATGGTATATAATTATGGAGTACTTTGGTTTAGCGAGCCTTGGAAGTATATGTTCTGGGAATTTTCAATTCGAAGTTGTCTTTATCTCTTCCTTAAAATTTTGTTACAATGAGTTTTTCCTTGAAAACTTTGTGGAAAGCTCGTGGTATTTGCCAGCTTTCAGCAATGACATATACAGCATGTTGCAAGCCTCAAGAGCACATCATGCACCGACAGAGTGATGTATGATGCTTTGATATGCGAGTTAAGTTTCAGATTATTGAATTCCAAACCTCTGAAGCTGCATCTTGAAAAATTTTCTTGTCTTACTGTAAAGAAAGCCTGAATGGTTATAATCATTGATTTGTCAATTGATGTGTTTATTGAATCATAGCATTTCTTGTATAAGGTATCATGCTGCAACGATCTATTGCAAGATTTTCTTTCACCAAATGAACTTTTTTAGGTTGCTGTATTTTTCGATGCAACCATCGCCAAGGGTGCTGATGTAAAACTGGCTACCAACTGGATAATGGGGGATATTGCTGCCTATACGAAAAATGAAAAAGTATCTATAAACAATATTAAACTTACCCCTCAGGAGTTGGCTGAGCTTATAGCTTCTATTAAAGGTGGAACTATCAGTGGGAAAATTGGGAAAGAGGTAAAAGTTTGTTTCCATTACCAATGCTACTTCTTATGCAAACGTCATCTGTATCTTTTTCTTTTTTTGCTGATACAAACTTCATCAGGATAATACCCAATCTCATATCTATAATAAGATATGCTCCTTTAATTTCACAAGAATGAATGTTATTTTTAGCCTTTAGTTGACTTTGCTAGCTCCTTTTATTTTCCAGTATCTTTCTCATGGCTTCCTGGTTTAAACATGTGATTTTTTCGACTTGGCAAATGGAAACAAATATCAAGTTTTGTAAACAAAGAAGGACAAAACATAATTTATCTACCTCATCAGTTTGAAGATTTTGCTTCTTTTTCTTGGTGGATTACGAAAGCCTCATTAGCATGTAAACAGATTCACTTTTATGTCAGTTTTCTTTGTTTCTTTTATTCCTTTTTTATTGGCCTTTAAAAGCATTTATCCTAGAATTCTACAAGAGTGCATGCTTTGAAGGCATTTAATAATTAGAGTTACATAGTTGAAAGGCTTAAAAGTCTGCAGCCTCCTGCTATACAGGAGTCTCATGAAGGCTTAAATTCTGAGGCCTCATGTTATACAGCAGTTACAGAGAGGCTTAAATCTGCAGCCTCATGTTATACAGGAGTTACAGGGTTAAAATCTGCAGCCTTTCTATTAATTTCTCTGTACTAATGAGTAATAAATGAGGAAGATTTTGGTAGGTTGATCTAAGGGCATAACTAATAATTCTTAATTTTTGAGAATTCTCCATTTATTATTTGCAGATACTGTTTGAACTCATAGCCAAAGGTGGAACTGTTAAGGGAATGATAGAAGAAAAAAATCTTGTTCAGGCAAGCTATTACTTTGCCCCTGTAGCATATTTAACTATTGTTCACAGCAATAACTGAGTGTTCAACAGTCTAATTACGTGTTTACTTTTAGTTTAGAAGTAGATGCGCTCAGTTTATGCATAAATAAGCTACAAAATAGATGTGATTGCCTTTACTATGCCAAATGGAGGAAACAAAAATTAACTGGAAGTACAGCTGCATGATGTCATGTCATTTCTTTACAAGCCTTCCGGGTCAAGCATGGTGTTGAGGACTTGAGACACGAGAAAAGCTAAGTTCGTTAAATCATTTAATGAAGTTTCCACCTTTCCTTCCTTTAAAAGGTGCCAAAAAATAATGTGTCATTCAGCTGTGTGATTTATTACCTTGGCACTTCAATTGTCTAATGAGTTGGTCATGGTGTTGGGAAAGCTTAGAAGCTTAGCTTGTCAATACAATATGCATGATATTGAGTGTGGCTACTATAGTTGGTGAAAGGCTGGATGAGATATCCACCAATCTAAACCAAGCACTGTCTGTGGTTTAGTTTCTTAACACATCTAACAGTGTGAGAAGGGCGTCATTTCAGTGATTGAATATGGCATAAATGTTGTATGTAGATCAGAATGAAAGGAAGGTAAAATAGGTAGGTTTCTCACATGTTTCAATATAACAGATAGTAGATCCTGCTGAGATTGAGAAGATGGTAGATAAAGTGCTATTAGAGAACCCAAAGCAGTTGGAACAATACCATGCGGGAAAAACTAAGTTACAAGGTTATTTTGCTGGCCAGGTATAAAAACCATTGGAAGCTATGAGATGAAACTTCACGTAATTTTTCCCTGATTGTGCTTTAGTGAATTGGGATAATTTTGAACGCTGATTCATTTGCAGGTGATGAAATTATCAAAGGGTAAAGCCAATCCAGGACTTCTGAACAAGATCCTTCAACAGAAACTGAATGCCACAAGTTAAAAGACTTTGCAGGTGATACCTTCATGAGGATCCTGTTTCATACTGCACACACTAACTATATTCCATCATAATTCTTGTCTGCCTTAAGTGTAGACAGAAAATGCGTTAAACATGGTGGCTTGGCCCTCTAGTGGCAAGCCACTGCCGTTCCATTGATTTGATTTTACTGTCAATGGCAGTCTAAGAAACTCTGCTCATGAACCGTCATCTTTTATACCGATAGGGAGAAGTGGATTTAAGTCCTGCCTCGGTGTTGGTTTGAGCTTGGAGGAGCTGCCAAATGAGCTTTACACTATTGACTGGCCATGATCTAGATTCATTTTCATTTTTATGATGGCTATATTTTCCCAGCTTTAGCATACAGAAGAATAATGAATGAGAATACCACTGATATGACTTGTATATTCATATGGTGTTTTTTTAATTAATAAAATCTAGGCAAAACCCCTAAATTAACTTTTGTGTTTATGTCAATTATTCATTTATATCCCTGCCATTTCAATTTGGTCAATTAACCTGTACATTCTTTGAATTTTTTCAAATAACCGTTGTTTTCTAAATTTGTCAAATTAATGGTTAACTTTCGTGAAGTCTAAATATTTGTCATGCATGCAAATGTTGTATTACTAAAATTTTTCTTTCATAAGATGACCTTTTTTATACTCAAGTAGGAGCCATATCATAAAATAAATTGTCTTGAAAATGTATTAAAAACATATAGATCATGTAAGTTGTAACTTATAGTTTATACATGTTAAAAAACTAAATATCCTAAGAAAAAAAATTACTTATATTAAGCTTTTAGAGATAGAAAATGGTTCAATCTTTTTAATGAAAATTAGTCGACATGGATCTTGAAACAAAACCTAGTCTAATTGGTAAATAATAATAATAATAATAATAAAGGTGGTGGTGGTGGTGGTGGTGGTGGTGTAGTGATGGAGTTTTTTTTATAAAAAATCATGTTTAATAGATATTCTAAAACAATTTATTTGGTGATATAAATTCTAAATAAATATAAAAAGTCATACATAGATGTGAAGTATTCAATAATGCTATATAATTAATAGCGAGACCAATAGAAATTAGTTATTGAATTAATTAAACAGATTGAAGAGAAAACAAGGACTAATTGAACGAATTTAGATAACATGAGATTGATTGACCAAATTAAAAATATAGAAATAGAAATAAATAATTGATGCAAACATAGGGGTAAATTTAGAATATTTGCCTAATTTTATTATTATTGTTATTGTTGTTATTGTTATTCAGTTACATATATGAGTAGAGAATTTTACAATGATTACGAATGAAAAATTTAAGATGTTTATAGCTTGATTTATCGAGTTCAAGAGAAAAGAGCATCACCCTTTTGAACAAAAGTTAAGAGACTCGTACATTCAGAAGAACTGGGAATTGCTTTTGGCAAGCGAGAGAAGTTCAAGTAACTTTCTGCCCGAAACAAAGAAATTGATCTGACAGGTCATAATAACAAAATATAAATTTTGTAAACGTGGTCCATTTCTAGTTTTTGCTTGCGTTGGAACGTGAGCGAGGCTATTAAACCTGAAAAATTACCTATCACATCTATGAGTCAGACGGAGACGGACAACTTTTTGTATACCGACGCTTGACTGCAAATTCAGAGTTCCAGATGGTCCGGTCCTTAGGTTGGATTGTTAGAGGCCGAGAGCCACATTTAATTCTTTAACTTAAAGAAGAACAATGACCAGAAGGAAGATAAGGCGAAGAACAACAGGGAGGTGACATAGAGCCGAGGTTGAGAACAGAAGTTTGATGTTGTTCACAACACAGGAACTGTTAATATAATGAAAATGACTTCGATGTTTCTGCTAATTAATTTGGGCTTAATTTTTTATATTTTCAAGCTTTGACTTGAAAAATTGTCATAAGTATATGTTGTTAAGGCAATTAGATTGTAATAATCCATTATCCCATTGACTAAAGAAAATAAAATTGTTCTTTGTAAGGACTAACACAGAATTTTGCAGTTAGCTCCGAAATTTAGACTACATAGTCAAGGTTGAACCTCATGTTGAGTAGGATATCATTTAAAAAGTGAAATAATACACTAATCATAACAAATCTCTGCTCAATAAGCATGCGCTTAATGCCTCATTGAAACTAGATAGGATCAGACCTAATATCAACCGTCTAAACTTTTAATCCTTTGAGAAAGGGTAGAATACAAAAAAGTGAAACTGCAAAAAAAGCTCAGGAGCTTTTACGAAAATTACATGTATAGTTTACATCAGTAACATAATGACTAACTTGAAAAGGTTGGGATGAGTTTGCCCAATTGCCCTGAATCAATTCTCACCTGTTGCCGCATGTAAATTTCTGGATAGAAGAAACTAATCTAGTTCTTCCACTCACCTATTCAGCAGGATATGTGTGGTCTCTCTCTGGCAGGGTGTATGGAGCGGGTTGATCAACTGATATAAGCACCTAGTCAGATCCGAGAGCAACTAGTCCCTGCAGCCAGAAGCAAGAGATGAACGTTAGCTTCCATAGATACTGGCCAATCCATCATACAATCAACTCTATATGTGGAATGGTAGTGCTTCACAAGTGCGTATACGTTAGTGATTGTAACCTTTCTTAGCACTACTAAAATGATAAAAAAATTCCTGTGACAAATCTAAAAGAAATTAAGCTTTGATACTTCAAATTCATGCCCGGTTTAATCTAACAGCACATCATCATAATTGAAAAATGGCTAAAGCATTACCCAACCACGGAGTATCTTCACAACATTAAACTGGTTTAGTTTTCACAAGCAACTAATATAAAAGATGCGAGGAGAACATCCAGGCAATCTTTATATATGCACAACAAACCTCAATTTGAAAACTTTTGAAGCTAGCCTTAAGCACAACAAGGATGATTTAAATGGATGCGATGCAGAATGAAAATATGGAATAAGAATATCCAATGAGCCATTGTAGGAAAAAGCTGCTTGATTTTGGGGTACGACTAAGTGGAATTCGCAGCAGATATCAACACCACAGATAGAGCATCCATGACGCATCAAGGCACATGGACTGAAAAACCTAACCTGTATGCATTAAACATGAAAATTATTAATTATTAAACTTGTGGTAGACATATTACTTACCAGTATTTAATCAAGCCATCCCAGCCACAAGTTGCCACTTTACTTTGCTCCAGCGGATGCCACTCACACCCAATGCAGACTCCCTCGTGACATTTGAGGGTCCTGAAAACTTTACAACTCTTCCAGTCCCAAAACCAGCATTTTCCCTCACCATCTCCCGACATAACAAATCGTCCATCTGGTGAGAAATTGACTTGACAAGCATAACCAGCGACAATGTGCCCAGCAAACCTCTTCTTTTTATTCAACTGGAATCTTTCCCTAGTACTATAAATAAGAATCTGGTTATCCAAACTCTGTGCAGCAAGCCAATTCGAATTGGGATGAAGAGAGATCGACGGCATAGAATGCATGTGAGGTTCACTTATATACTTAATAACAACAGGGATACCAAATTCCCATACACGGAGTGATTTATCATCACTTGAAGTAACAAATCTCCTATTATTATCCACAAAAGTGATGGTATTCACTGCCCCCAAATGCTGGTCATATTCCTGAGTAATCTGCCCTGTATTCATATCCCACTGCACAATCTTCTTATCACTCATACCCGCCAACAATATATTCTGCTTATCGTCGTCAGGATTGAGCTTAACAACATACGGAATCTTCCCAGTTGAAAACGTAGAGATAACCTGGCCCGTCTCTGTATCCCAGTACTTAATATTCTTATCATAACCAGCAGTCAAAAACTTGGAGCCGTCATTACAAAATGAAATATCCCTAACAGCCTTAGAATGACCCATGTAAGTTCTCATACACTTGCCCGAATTAAACACATCCCATATCTTCACCTTCGTATCCATACCCGCAGAAAGTATCAAATGCCCATATTTAGGGAAAAACCTTATAGCAGAAACTCCTTTAGTATGTCCACTCCATGTATGCACCAACCTCTTGGGTATATAGCAATGATCATTGCTAGCTTTAGCATCTTTAGGCGGCGCAATCCACGACCTCCCTTGATAATCCCTCTCTTCTTTCCCATGAAAAGTAGACTTATCAGCAACAACCTCACCCTTTTCACCTCCAGCTTTCTCCTCCTTCTTCCTCGCATGCTCCTCCGCATATTTTTTCTGCTCTTCAGTCAATTCAGTTTGTAATCCCTCCTTTTTACCTGCCCAAGGGCTCTTCCTATTCTTCATCAACCACGCATCCGTAGCCGGATTCTCAATCTCTTCCTTATCCATTTCACCATCACCGTTACCCTCCTCCGCCGCTTCCTTTTTCTTCTCAATTTTCCGCTTCTTTTGTTCATGTTGCGGAATATTATAAACAGAAATTCCATCATTTTTCTGTAAAGCATCCAAATCACCAATATAATTATTACCTGCAGAAGCGGAGGGGTCAGACGCATAGCCATACTTATGGAAAGTGTTGTACTGCTCGTCGAAGACGAAGGAATCGATGGCAGCGTCCTCCACGAAGCCGAGCTTGTGGTTGCGCATGCCCTGGGCAATGCCGTCCTTGGCGTAGGGATGGGCGGGGCCTAAAACCGGAGCCCATAGCTGGTCGTAGGTAGGGTTGAAAGCGACAGCGTGCTGGACGGGGTCAATAGGTTTAGAGAGGGTTTGATTGGCAACTGTTAGGGCCAGCATGGTGTCGTCGACTTTAGGAGCGGCGGATTTAGAAGGGAGGAGGCTTGGAGGGGATGAATCTGGAGAGGCATTAGGGTTTTGTCCATGTTCGTCTAATTCGTCGTCTTTTTGGTAGCTTTGGAGAAGATCCATTGCTGGGATCCAAGACTGGAAGAAGCCGTACCTTTTCTGGAAACGAGAAGGGGAAAATCAAAATAGCGAAAGGGAATTTTAGTGAGTTGCTGCTCCTGCTAATACTCGTGTTTGTGCGAGTTGAGGATCGAGGAATTTGAGTTCGCTCTTCAAAACGATGCGTTGATGATTTGCTCTAAAATACATACAGCCTCTCTAACTATTAGTAATGTTTCAATTTGGTACCCTACGTACTAGAAGTAATGCAAAACCTCCATTATCTATTCCTACTATCAAAACACAGTAGGAAAAGCATAAGCACTTTTAACAAAAAATAATTAGTACACGGACACTTAAGGTTTAAGGTCAATCCAACCAGAGACTTGAATAAAATAGTTTTCTTTTTATGATTCTTTTGAACATATCCATGCATAAGGTGTATTTATATGGGATTA